TTTTGGAAAGGGGGGTGGCTCTGTTGTTTATAATAAGAATTCAAATTTCTACTATTTCTGATATATTATGACGCATTTATATTTATGTTCATTCTGTTTCTTATTTAAGACTTAACCCTGGGTTTATTTATCTTATTTTACATTTATTTATCTTTTATCTTAAATTATAGTAGGTCCACATCAGAAGTAAAGTTGCCATTTTTTTAACCTACTTATCAAATAAAGTTATGATAATGACGACGATGATGGGCGATCGACTCCTTTCTGTCACATTTTTTGGAGAGGAATGAAAGAGTATGACAAGTTTACCACCATTTCTAACTCTGTGGATACTCGTGCAGTTTCCTGGCCCTTTGGATGAGGATATTTTGATGATCAAAGTGCAAACAAAACACGGAAATAGGCCAAAAACTTTAAATTTGAGATTTAATTTACTGATGATCAAAAAAATTTGGGGATTTGAACCTATGACCTCAGTAAATGACTGTGAATATATGAAAGCCATGTATTTGAACTGTGGATAAAGACATCAATATGAAAGTGATCTTTGCAATAATGAACACTTCTTAAGCAGTAACACTACTTAGATTTTTTTTAGGCCTTATTTTCATTACTGCAAAGATCGTTTTCATATTCATATCTTTATCAGCAGTTGAAATAAATGACTTTCATATATTCACAGTTGTTTATGTGGAGTAGTGCAACTATTCTTTGCTGCTGTACATGTGAATACCTTTCTGGTGGCATGTCCATCTGCACTCACTATTGTACTGATGAGAATGTAAAGGAGATGTGGTGCACAAGTCTCACAAAATGCCTGTACATCATCAGATCTGTATAGAGATAGACCCCACTCTCATAGTGCCTGTACAAGGCTGAGTGAAATTTTTCCACCAGCGCTTCAAGATTATATAGAAAATGCAATAATAATGTATTTGACTACTCTGTAAGTTATATAGAAATATTTTCAACAATGAACATGTGTTTACTTGTTAAATATGAGCATAGTGCAGAACCTTTATCAGTATTTATATTATTACTTGATTGATGTTGTCCTGGAGATGTTTAACCCTGCAAGTGCAATCATAGCATATCTATGATTATTAACAATATAGTGGATTGGTTACCTTTCTTAGATTATGTCCAGGCATAGGTAAGGTACTTACCATGGTTAGTGTTAAGAAATTGGGTGGACCAGTCTGTGCACCAATTTCCTGACTCTCCCTGTTGAGCTATTAAACTGAGTAGTAGTAAGTTTTGCAGCAGACATTTAACTGTCATAGCTTGTTAATCACATTGACCATCTGTCGAATCTGCTTGGCATGCTAACTGAATTTTGCATGGCACTCCAGCCCCATTTTGCATGAATATTTTTAAGTTATTGATCTTAATTAAGTTATTGATCATGGAAAAAGGTGATAATTATGTCATCATTTGCTTTATTGTTTACCATGTAAATGGTGAAGTATGTAAACCATGAATATCCAGTAGGACATAGAGGCTTTGAATATAACTATCGGAAGTTTTTTTTTCCTTACTAGCTTTTATAAGTAGTCCTCAAGGCAAATGTTTTGTCAGTGTTTCTCAAACAACTTGTGCACCACAGCGTCCCTGGTTGATAACAAGCCTCTTTGCAGTCATGAACACTACTTGAGCAGTAGGCGTATTTTCACTGCAGCTCAAGTAGCGTTCATTACTGCAAAGATTGCTGTCATATCCACGTCTTTATCCACAGTTCAAATATATGACTTTCATATATTCACAGTCGTTCATTCACGGGTTTACTTGGAACCAACATAATGACCAGCTCCCAGTTGGCTTGTTAGCTTAGTTGGTAGAGTGCTGCACTGGTATTGCAGAGGTCATAGGTTCAAATCCTGTACAGGCCTGAATTTTTTTCCAGCCTTATTTTTACTACTGCTCAAGTAGTGATCATTATTGCAAAGATTGTTTTCACATTCATGACTACTTCACATTTTGCCTTACTTTAAGTATTTACTTCAAATTACAACGTACCTGCCTAAAGTTTTGCCATTCGAAGAATAAAAAAATTATTATATTCCATATAATTTACAAAATTTTCATGTCAACTTTATTCTGAGTGTCAGCAGTCACTGGTACAAAACAACCTTTGTTCTTGAGTATGATAACATGAATAATATGCAATTTCCCTCAGATCCCAGAAAACATCACATCTCCAAAAATAAGCTGAAATGTTCCTTGATATTCATGGGTTAACCAGGTCTGCACAGACTGCAAGCAGAGTCTTAGGCTTTAGCAGTGGAATATGTATGAATGACATGTTTAAACAACAACATGCAAAATAACCATCAATAAATTATGGACAAAACTGTGCTGACAGCCTACAGGATAAAGCATAACAAATACAATGACCAATAAACAAACACTTTTTTTAAAAACATAAGCAATCAATAAAATTGATATTAATTTTTTTTTCAGACCAAAAAACTTGTTATCCATCTCACTGATGATTTTCATGTTAAGAATGTGCCTACAGAACCAACTGGTAAAGCTAGTGTGACAATCCATATGGCATCAAGTCTCCCAACCATAGCAGTTGCCCATCCAGTTGATGGAGCAATGATCCTTTTCCAACATCAGTAAATGAGTTAGGTGATTCCTTCAATTAAGATATTATATAGTATTATACCAGTAGCAACATTGCAGACAGCCACAATAGTCACGAACAGCCCAAAAGCCAGCCAGCAATACATGCTTCTAGGTATTCAGACTTTCATAAGTCCCATCATGGGGGAAATATGATAACTAGAAATTTGGAACAGCTTATTGCACCACAACCCAGTGTTCCACACAAGACAACTCAAGAAAGAGGACATACCGCAGAAAGGCCTGCTTCTGTTGCAAATTCATGCCAAAACCACTTTTCAATAGTGGGTAACCTAGCCACCAAAACTCTCAAGGTTCTCACCTTACCTGCCCTTACCTTTTACAATCATGCAATCAATCTCGACAACAAACACCATCAGTAGCCCGACAACAGTTTCCTAACTCAGATGTACCACCACAATCCACTTCGATACATGTTCCATTTTCAACTACACAATCAGTCACATTCTGGAAACTGCCAGTCTTCCTGTCTCAGTCAACAATAGGAGGTCGTTAAGCAGCAACGCTTGTACAGTTATTTCTTTGTTGTTATCTAAGACATACCTAACAAACAAATCCTCACTTCAACTGAATAACCACCAACCACTGACTCCAAGCTGGATTCTAGCCTTCATGTCATGTGTGATGGGGGGAAATCAGGCATATGACTGTTTCATGTAGTCACAATCAGATCTTGGCATTATCAAAGCCATACCTCTTCTCAGAAGCAGCCTGGGTAGTTTGAGCTATGAAGAACAGTTACCCGTTTGTTTTGTCAAGAATCCTAATTCAAGTGAAGAATCTGCTCTGAGTTTTCACCTCCGTAGAAGACTTCCGACACATGCTGCTTTTACTATAATTTATGGTTTAACTATTACATTTGTAAGTGCTCGATGCAAATAACATCATCATCTCATCGCCAGAAATCAAGGACATTTCGAGCCCGCTAACAATTATCAGCGGTATATCGTATTACACTCCGGAACAATAGAATATCAAGAGAATTCAATATAGCGGCGATCACGGCTCGATCTGCAAAGAAGAGTGTTTCGTACCATGACTTGTATAATTTGAGCACCGCAGATCTTCTATTTGATGAAAATAAAAAGAAAAGAAGACCTGCAAGTAAATCTTTGGGATTTTTCGAGGCAGAGCGATGACATGATGTCAGACTAAATTTGCAGTCAATGCCTGGCATATTTTTATTCCGAAAAGGACCTGAGAACTAATTCATTTCCCTGCAAGAACTTAAACAAATATGGCCGACGATTCGAAGATCAGCGTGGTAAAATTTCCGCACAGCCCCATACCTCATTATGCATGCACACCTTAATAATTATGCATTCTACTCTTTGTCTTTGCATACAATAGACAATTCCCTTGGTAATTGAATATATACATCCTTAATTATTACTAAAAGAGGTTTGTTTCCACGGCGTTTCTTTCCGCGCTCTCTCTCTCCATTTTCCCCTCTTTCTCTTCCCCATTTCTCTGGCGGACACTTCACTTATATCTATCCTTCCTTCAAGGCTCCTCTCTTGAGCGGCAGACGCAGGCAGCTGATGGAAATTTTATATTTCTCTTCTTAGGCTGTGGATATACATTTGTTAATGACTCTAAAAATATAAAAATCGGGAACGAAATTTTTGCAGAGTTGCTTAGCTTTTCATTTTTCTAGAAACGACAGTCGAGATTGCAAAATTCAAGTGAAAAGCAAGCCAACTGTGATTAACGCCTTGAACAAGTCAAGATATACTTTTTTTCTGTCATACAACAAGTTACATAACGTAAATATCATTCTTCTTGGTGCCTTTCCCGGTGTCAGCGATGCCTTTTCCGATGCATCCGTTGGTTAATACAGCATTAAAAATTATTGTTCCAGTCAAAGCTTCAGGAAAATTGCTTAACTTTTTTATCAGCGAAGTATTACTTGATAACATTTCGGCTTTACAACACGATTGTTTTCTGCGACTACAAAACGTAAATTTAATTCTTTATGGTGCCTTTCGGATGCCACCGATACATTCATTGTTTATTCAATCAGTAAAAGATATATGTACGATCAAAACCTTTGAAAAATTGCGTTACATTTTATTTATCGAAGTAAACTGTTTGCATTTCAACACGATTGTTTTCTGCAACTACAAATGACTTGTCTCTATATGAAGTATTTTAATACTTTAATTTGTTTCACCGCTGGCTACTCGTATCTAGGTCTCTTCTTTCTTCACTCGCCGCCGGTCTAGTTGAAAACACACCCTCTATTTTAACATTTCTACGCTCGTAGCTCGTGACGTGGAAACTACCATCCTAAACTTCTCTGTTACGTTCAAACTCTCAAGGTGGTCAGCACAGTCCACATTCTGGTGAATATGACAAGTTCACCGTCTCAGTTTGAGCTCAAATCTTTACAAAATGGCGGAATTAACAGAGTGCATGAAGGATTCCCTCTGCGCAGTGACGTGAAGGAGAAGATGATCCCTATATTTAGCGCCTTCATAAATAATATCTCTTCAGTCCTTGAAGACTTGGTAGCGGAACCAAGAGTAGCTTTGGACGAAAATGAACAAGAATTCCAGGAATTCTTAAGCGAGGTAAGATTTTATGTCGCTTTCAAGCTCCATGATATTGATGAGAATTGGTAAATTAAATATTGTTAAACTGGTGCAGATCATACAACCTTGATTGTAGTCGTTTTTTTAATGTTTTTGATGTATTTTGATATTACTTCAAAGCTACTTGATTTATACCTTGATCAAATACTTTCTTTAATTAACTCTGGATAATTCATAATTTTCATGGATTGTGCATTCAGATATATTTTACAGTAATATTACATCATGTAGTTGTGTTCTTTACCTGTTTATCAGTAATTTGGTATGTTAGAGGCACGTTCTGTAGATTCATGCCAGTGTTTTTTGTTTCCCTGATCATTTCTCCCAGTTTACACAAGACATATTGTCAAGACACCAATTTTGCAATCTCTGTAATGGGAACTGTGACTTAAGTTCTATGTAAAACCCATGCATTTATTCATGGTCCATCTCGCTCTGTGCACACTCTATGTACCTGCACTTTCACTGTCAATTTTTCAATGTAATTAATTCTTATTAAGTCAGAACTGATTATCGCATTTCTCTCACACAGGTGTTAGGCTTTAAGAGACAGATCTCAAGCATTTTAAAGGTACTATCAAGGGATCAGATTAAGGTGGCATTCATTGGACAAACCAGCAATGGAAAGAGTACCACATTAAACGCCATATTACAAAGTGACTTCTTACCAATGGGAATGGGCTGTACTACAAACTGTTTTCTCAGTGTACATGGTTCAGATTCACCAGTTCCATATATTTGGGTTCCAGGCAGTGATGGCAAAAAGAATATGGTATGTCTTTTTAACAAGTATTATAAGTTTCTCCTTTGTAATAATTATATGTATGATAATTTCCATCCATTTACCCCAGCAGCAGATTACCCGCATTGGTCAATTTTTGCAATAGCTAACCTACACCCAAAAACAAAAGAAAATTGTCAACTCACACAAAGTTCCTCTATTGTTTTTGTTGACATGATATCATTTAGCATGCAATGGATAAATTTCCACACTTCTTGTTTTTGATGTTTCTTCGAGATTGTAAAAATCTGTTCTAAAAAAAAATCTATATCTTGAGATCAACTGTGGGAAAGAAATCACTTGAAATGGATATACATTTTTCTTAGAAACATTTCACGTATAAAATATGATTTATGGTTAATAAATTGTATTTGATTTTTATAGCCTGACAGCAGATAAAGGTCCAAACCTCAATCAATCACTCCTACTGTTTAATTCTAAACTAGCAGTATTTCTCTGGTGTTTATATGGTTTTAACGATTAATTTTGGTTTGACATTTCATTTAGAAAATATCACTGGTACTTAAATTATCTAAAAGCAGAAAAATCCTGTAATATGTAAAATAGATTAAATAGTACTCCAATTGATATATGTGCAATGTAAGTTAACCCTTTAACCCTAGAAGTGATTAACATGTAACTTCTCCCTATGGTATCCATACATAATTATTAGAAGTGATTAACATGTAACTTCTCCCTATGGTATCCATACATTATCCAGCAAACAGGTGGTGAGATTACTCAACTTTATCAGGTTTAAGATATTATCTTGATTGAACACCAAATTCTCCTAACCACTCTACAATGAAATTTGTAGCAACCAGAGAGAGAATTAATAATCAGATCTTGGGTTTCAAAGGGTTAATAAGTTGTTAATAATCATCATGATAATTACCTATTTTTCTGCTTGTTATGGAAACAGCCATTAGATGAACTTACCTGTACCTTAAGCAAAGGAAAGCTTGGTCCTGGCAGTCTTGTTGCAGTGTATTACCCAAAGTCTAGGTTTGATTTTGTTTTGTAATTATTATATCATTCACATGTACTCCATTATGGAATTGCGCTCATTGAAAAACATCGTACGGGAAAATGCAAATAAGCTAGAAAAGAGAAAGAGAGCATGGGTAACTTCATGCAGGCCTGTCAATTTGACTGCCAATCTTGTAATCCCCCGTGTATGCCATGTTCACAAGTATTGTTTCTTGCTCAGACAAACGAACATAGTGCTATTCATCGAAGAAGACATATAATTATTAGCATTATCTTGATTGGTCTATATTGTTTAAAAATCGGTCAGATGTAAAATTAAATTACCTTTTAAATGTTGGGTTTCAATTTGTGTTAAGACTGAAATGCAGCAGATTTATGAGGTTCTTTTGCAACCTCATTCCCAGGTCATTGAGCCTGCAAAGCATCATGGGTACCCAATTTTTCCCAGGCAACACTTTTCAATGGGCGCTATGTTAGTAAAAGTAGAATTTAGTGCCCTTTGTTGTACATGAATTGTTCTTGTCCAGGTTTTTTTCCAAAGAGATTAAGTTTGTCAACATTTTTTGGCTTCAAATTAATTCTGTTATTATATGTTAGACTTATTATAAAATATCTGATTGGTCAAGAGCATTCAATCAATATACAAAAGCAGAGGAAGTTGACGTAATAACCCAATATCTGCAGCAGACATTGCATTTGTCATTTGGAGTTCAAAGTCTGCCTAGTTTCCAAGCCCTTACTCCATGAAGTGTTCTCAAACTTTTGCAAACCCAGAGAGAGGTGTTTTCTTTTCCAGATTGTTTTTAACAGATGTGTAATTAAAACAATTACCAAATTCAGTTTTTACATGATATCATGAACTATTAAGCATGGTGTCTTTGTAGTCTGTCTCACCCTTTGGTTTTGAGTGTCTTGTAAACAAAGGAAATGTACTTGTAGTGTTGAAAAGCTCTTGGATAGGCTGCCTCTTGTGTCTTTAAAAGATACAAAAACTTTCCAAACACAGTTCACGTGTTCTAGATAATGCTTTCACATTAGATCAGGGGGTTTGTATCATTACAAGAGAGTTTTACCTGTACATTATTATCACTTGTGATGGTTTCATTTTTGTAAAAATGTATTTTTTTTAACCTCAGTTGTAATATTTTATCAGAGGATGTTGTTTTGGTGGATAGGTAAGCAAAATAAATGTGATGAAATGCACTGTATAATTAAACTTTTGAGCCCCAAGAATTAAAATTCTCCTTACAATTTCACCTCTGAATAACACATTAAGATCCCAAGAATAAAAGAAATGATCACCAGCTATGGACGCTCTTGACTGTTGGGCAAATTGTCTTTGTCTACTCCTAAGGGAATGTATAGGATCAGTACAGAGAATATGCATACTAATATTAGGGTGTGAAGGTTAAAGAAGAACAAAGAGACAAAAGAACAAGAAAACAATGAAAACAATAGGTTCATGAGGTATTGCTCTATTGTGACATGTTCTGTGTCTTCTACACCAAGAAGAAGCCTAAAAATGCTATATAAATAGTCACAGACACTGTTATTTTAGTCTTGGTATAGATGTGAGCCCTGATCTTGATATGTGGATAGATGAGTACTGCTTGGATGCTGATGTGTTTGTCCTGGTTGCTAATGCTCAGTCAACACTTGCGTTTGCGGTATGTTCATGACCATTCATGTGCTATGTGTAAATTTAAGATACATCACATACAAACTTTAAATTTGATTGAATTTTTTTAAAATTTCAGTTGCTTTAAAATGTGACTTATTGCAGGAGAAATTTATCCAATCAGTGTGGTAGCATTCATATATTAAACCTTCCCATACTTGTGGGGTAGTTTCTCATTTCGTACCCTTGTCATTTGTAGGAGAAAAACTTTTTTCGCAAAAGGAATCAGCATCTTCCAAGACCAAACATCATCATTCTATATAACAAATGGGACGTATGTGCATCAGAACCTGATAAGATGGAGCTGGTAAGTGAGCACTTATTTGACCTTGATACCCATTTAAATTTGAAATCGAAAGATATCAAAAGTGAAAACAAAATACAACTTTGAGTTGTCTTTCATCTCTGATGCTCTCTTCATAGGAAATTGTTGCTGGAAAAAAAAGTACTGATAGATTCATAGTGGGGGGAGGGAGGGGGTGGGGGTGCTTAGATAGAGGAGAAGAATTAATGTATGATGATGGGTGGGATAACAAACATTTATCCCATTTCCTTCCCCCCCCTCCAGACAACAACAACCACTCCCCCCCTCCCCCACTATTTAGATGATGGTAATAAAGTGTGATTTTTAAATTTTTTTTACCTGTTTCTTTAAGGTGAAAAATCAACATCTCAGTCAGAGCACTAATTTCCTTGTTGATGAGCTCCAGTGTGTAGACAAAGAACTGGCTGAAGACAGAGTGTTTTTTGTCTCAGCTAAAGAGGTAAGCTGCTGGATATTTTGTATCAGGGTTTATAAGGATCAATTGCAAATAACTCGGAACAAGTCTTCAAGTTTTGTTATTGCTATGCAAAGAGACATTTGATACAGGACAAACCTCTCAATTGCTTTATTTATTTTCCCACTTTCTTTTCCTGTTTCTGTTTTACCAAGACCTTAATGAGCAGAGTGCAGGAACACCAAGGAATGCCTCAAGGAGGTATGTGGCTGATCAAAATTCGCATTCTCTTGAAAAAGCACAAACACATGGTTAAGTAAGATTTTTGTATTAAATCAAGTAACTAGCATTACCATGATGTTTTTCAGGTGGTGCCATTCATAATGAAGGATTTCTTGCTCGACAGATGCAGTTTAAGAACTTTGAGCGCAAATTTGAGGTATTTTTCAGATAGCCAGTTGTCTGTTGGCAGATTACCCATGAACCAAAAAGGGGCAAAAATATTCCAATGATTGCAGTGTGGAATTTAATGGCATTGTTATTCAGGGAGTGCAAATTTGCTAATGGTAACTTCACACATAGCTATGCAGGGGGTTTTCCATTAAAGCTAGTTACACTCCGGGTGGTTTACTGCTGCCTTTAAGACCTTTGACTGCCATCCATTTAGCATGGAAAGGGGCCTTTTGACTGTACTTTTTTAATTTAAAGTTAAACACATTTGCTTGTCTAGAGTTTGTGTCAATTAATTACTCTCGGTTCACAACATAAATTTTTCATGCTTGGTTTTATAGGAGTGTATTTCTCAGTCACACATAGAAACCAAGTTTAAACCTCTTGTGGACAGTGGATTGGAAATGGCAAACATGTTAAAGGATCGTATGGAACAAGTAGAGGGTTCTGAATTTCAGAAAAGGTGAGAAAGAGACAGATAATTTTTCCTTTTGCTTGATGGTGATTTTAGTTACCTAATTGTTGGTTTTGCTAAGTTCATATGGTCTTTTCTGCTCAGATCTCCACTGGAGAAAGCTAAGAAGGAGGTAGAGAATAGTCTGAAGTATGTGAAGGAACAGCTTGAATTATGTAAATGTGAGGTGAAATGCCTGATCAATGAAATCACTTCTAAAGTTGAGGCTCAGGTAATAAAATAACTACTCAAATGCTCTTTAGGAGGCTTAAGTTTAAAACTTGTGGTTTATTCAGTCTTGAATCATGTTAATTTTTAGTTTTTCACAATGTAAGGTTCCAGAACAGATTGGAAAGTACGTAATCAAATGGATGACTTTATTTGAGATGCTTCTTAAATACTTGTTAGGTGCCTTTGATATGCATATCAAATTTACTTTGAAGTGAGTGGTAAAATTTTATCAAGAGTTTTCCTTAAATTTACTGCTATAGTGCCTGAGTACACACAGATATGTACCTAATTTGTAATAAGTATGATGACGCATAGTGATAAGGATGAACACAAATTGGGACATAATCTTACAGAACTAAACTGCCAGAGCTTTTCCCAATTTCCACACCCAGAGTATTGCTACTCCCCCGAGATGGGAAGCCAGTCCATCCCATGCTACCCATCCCCCACCCTGACAGCATTTCTTCATGTTTTCCCAATCCCTTGTTTGTATCCATTTTTACTTTAAGGACCTTTCTGCACAAGCGGGCAAAACTAGAATTGTCCCAAAAAAATTAAAATACAAATTTTGTCAAATTTCAAAGCCATGAGATTCTGTCGGCACCTGATCTGTTCATAAGACCGGCCAGAATAGTTGCCAAAGGATTCCACCTTCAATTTCCAGGATTTATTCTAAGTTGTTTTGAAAATTTTAGAAACCCCAAGTATTGCAACAAAAGACAAATTTTGCCTTTCTAGTTAACTGATTTCAACAAACAAAATCTAAACAAAATGTTTTCCTTTCTTTAGATAACTGAGGCTTTAAAAGAAAAGATTGCTCGACTGGGCTCGATGGTGAACGAGTTTGATCATCCATCCCCAGCTCATCCTTCGTTCCTTGGGTCATATAAAGAGGTGAAAATTACTTGTGTAGGCAGTTTTGCTGCCGAGCAACAGCTGCAATGGAGGGAGAATTTGAAATTTAACAATTATCTCTGATTATGTCAATAGAATCTGTGCAATCACCTTGAGAGTGGCTTAGGAAGGCATATGATGGCTTCTTCTTCAAATTTTCTTGTGATTTGTCAGGCACATAAACAAATGGCAGGTCAGTATTTAGGACCTACTCCATACTACATGAATGATATGTGAATATGCATGTGTACATAAGCCTAAAAATTATCAAATGAGTATACAGTGGATTGCTGGAATTATCTGGAGAAGTAACTCTGAAAAACAGCTTAAGTCAGCTTACAGAACCAGTCTGACTTAAAACCTTCCACACCTTCCGCCACTTTGATCTTTCTGATCGTAAGTCACGTTTACATTGTTTTGCATGAGGATTTTGATAGCTACTTGTCAAACCTGTCTATCAATGTCATCACGCCGCATCAATCAGAAGTGCCATTCGTGGTCAAACAGATTTTTCAAAAGTTAGGATTTGCATACTAGACTTCCATCCTCTCCCCACCCCACCCCCGTCCTGCGACCCTCTTACTCTCGTCCCGCCACATTTCGTGCGGTCAGGATGATAAAAAGTTCTCCTTTCGTACTGAAATGCTTGGTACAGACGATATGCACTAGGGTCGCAAAACAACTGAGGTAGAGTAATAACTAATGATAAATCATGAAGTCACTCATATGTTAGGAAAAAAAGGGGGGAAGGGAAAGAAGCCAACAGTAAAGAGGCACGAGTCTCTGGGGACCATTTAATATATTTTGGCCGTGGAGAGGGGTGTGTGTGAAGGATTTAGGGGAGGATCACATTGTTTTCAGGGAGGGAAAGAAGGGGGGGGGGGAGTAAGTCGTCACCGACAGAGTATAAAGTGGGACTGTAGAAAATTGACACCAACACCAATTTAGTACCAACGAGGGGGGGGGAGAGTCATAAGAATATTTCAGGGTCTTATGAGGGGAACTAGTAAATTTTTATCGTGACCGACATCCTCCGACCCCCTCCCACTCCCCCTCAGATGATAACTAATGACTGGTCCCTTAAGTGTATATGAATATATTTTTCTTTTTTTCCAGATCGCTTTGGTAGGATTCTTTCGCCTAAAACACCAGAGTTATCTCTTGAGCTCGTCACTCCAGCGTGAGTATTGTGTTCCTTCGCTTATCAAACTCTAACATCAGTATGTATATTCTCTGTACTATAGTACATGGTTTGAACCAGGGGTTAACATGCAATAGTGTAGTTGGATCGTCCTGGTGAGTGTAGTCCTGAGAAGGACTATTGTCGGTAGTAGTGACTGACGTTTCGACAACCTGAGCGGAAGTCATCTTCAGAGTCAAGTCAAGAGTCACTTGACGTTCATCTTCTTTTTCCTCGTGACTTGATTGTGTGACTTCGAGGTGATATTGTAAGGAGAAATTAGATGCAGGTCAAGGGTTAATATCTACTGACTCGGTATAATAAGACATCAGGACTACTGGCTTTAGGATAACTGCAGACTGCCGAGTGGGTACAAAATGCAGACTGAGAATTTAAAGTGTTTTTTTCGTATGCTATGTGATAACATGTCTTCTTACAACTTACCAAGCGTCACGCAATCGCTTTTCTGCGATCAGCTTTCACGATTATTTGCACTATTGTGGAATATTCCTGGCCCGTTTCTCGATCAAAATCGTTCTTAATATAATCTCAGGCCTTCATATAGTCTTCTCACTTTGCGTGCGAGTTGGTCGGTGTTATGTCTGTACAGATTTTACCAATTTAATAAAGGTAGGTGTAGATGTAAATAAGATGTCACTATTGAATATTTAACACGCGTGATATTCTAGAAACAATTGACAGCTTTGCATGTCGTCTGTATTATCATCTTTTGAAGCGGTATGTGTCTATTTTGTTGACTAAAATGCGGACCGAGACCAAAACGGTTCCTTCGACTTGATATATTTTTAACGTTAGTAGATCACATCATCTTACCTTACCTCCGTAAATCATTCATTCCAGTTAATAGAATCAAATAAACATGCTAACGATGGTATCTGAATTCGTCCTTGGCCGAACACAAACGACTCCACAAGATCACTTTCTCCAGGCATCGAAAATATTTCCATTCGTGATGATGACTCCATTTTACGAATCATGCGTTAATTCTTTGAAATTTGAACACCTCTCAAACCAAAGAACAAAAATGATGCTCTAATTGGTGCGAGATACATACCCTAATGCGGCAATCTGATTAGTATAAGATACATACCCTAAACGATCTGATTGACGCAAGCAACATAGAGTTATTCTTATTTTTGTTTTTGAGTTTTTTTTTTTTACTTTAAAAAAAAAACATCTATGTTAGCGCACAGAGAGTGGTATGTTGCTCGCACCAATCAGATCGTTTATGGTTGATCCTGCCAGTAGTCATATGCTTGTCTCAAAGATTAAGCCATGCATGTCTAAGTATAAGCACTAGTACTGTGAAACTGCGAATGGCTCATTAAATCAGTTATCTTTTATTTTGATTGTACCCTTACTTGGATAACCGTTGTAATTCTAGATCTAATACATGCGAAAAGTCCCGACTATCTGCGGAAGGGATGTATTTATTAGAGTAAAAACCAATGCGGGTTCTGCCCGGTGTTGTGGTGAATCATGGTAACTGATCGAATCGCACGGCCTGTGCGCTGGCGATCTTTCATTCAAATATCTGCCCTATCAACTGTCCATGGTAGGGTAGTGGCTTACCATGGTTGCAACGGGTGACGGAGAATTAGGGTTCGATTCCGGAGAGGGAGCCTGAGAAACGGCTACCACATCCAAGGAAGGCAGCAGGCGCGCAAATTACCCAATCCTGACTCAGGGAGGTAGTGACCAAAAAAATAACAATATGGGGCTTTTGCAAGTCTTGTAATTGGAATGAGTACAACTTAAATCCTTTAACGAGGTTCTCCCAGGAGCATCTCTGTCTGAGTGTCTATTCAAACACCCATCGTGCGAATCCGCGTGCGCGTCCGCCTGGTCCCCGCCTGTAGCGGGTGGGGCCGGGACGCGCCCGCTAGAAACGGGTTCGTGTGGCGTTGAGGGTCGCGGTCGAGATGACCGGTCGTGCGCTAGCCTTGGTGCTCGGCCCGGCCGGTCGGTTTACCGCGTCCATTCAAATTCAGGGAGAAAGATCCGCCAGGCGACATCCGTAATCGCGTGGGGATCATAGAACAAGAATCCCTAACCGGCCACGGTTCTATCGCTTTGACGGAACAAATCTTTCTCCATTCGATTTTTTTTTTCCGCTGCCGCCAGGTAGCGGTGGCGGCATCTCAAAGAAAAAAAGGAATCGCCTTCCAGACCTCAGATCTGGCAAGGCTACCCGCTGAATTTAAGCATGTTAATAAGCGGAGGAAAAGAAACTAACAAGGATTCCCTCAGTAACGGCGAGTGAAGCGGGAAGAGCTCAAATTTGAAATCTCCGATGCCTGCATCGGCGAGTTGTAGTTGCGAGAAGCACTTTCTAGGCGAAGGGGCCCTGCCTAAGTTGCTTGGAACGACACGTCGCAGAGGGTGACAACCCCGTCTGTGGCAGGGCCGGCCGCCCACGATGTGCTTTCGAAGAGTCGGGTTGTTGGGAATGCAGCCCAAAATGGGTGGTAAACTCCATCTAAAGCTAAATACCGGCGTGAGACCGATAGCGAACAAGTACCGTGAGGGAAAGATGAAAAGAACTTTGAAAAGAGAGTTAAAAAGTACGTGAAACCGTCAGAGGGAAACGAATGGACTCAGCAATGTTCCCTTCGAGATTCAGCCGGCGGCTTGGGGTTTGCGGATCCGAACGGACCATGGTCCCGGGCACGCGTCTCGCCGCCGTCGCACTTCTCTTGGGCGCGCGTTAGCGTGGGTCGGAACTGGGCGTCGGAGGTAGGTCTGGAGTCTCGGCTCCGGACTGTTAGAGCCCGGCTCCCGCGGCTCGGGTCCGACCGAGGACAGTCGCAGCGCGTGCCTCTTGTGGCTGGATTTCTGGATTTTTTCAGGCTGATAAAAGAAATGATAATCGAGTGACACTGCCTTCTGACAAAAAAATTGTTAAGTTCTTAAAGATTCCCGCTTTTAGAGATTCCCCGTTTTAAAGATTCCCGCATTTAAAGATTTTCCGTTTTAAAGATTCCCGCTTTTAAAGATTTTCCGTTTTAAAGATTCCCGCTTTTAAAGATTCCCCGTTTTAAAGACTCCCGCTTTTGAAGATTCCCGCTTTTATAGATTCTAGTGAGACCTTCGCTAAATCATTTGATTCTTTTGCTATTTTGAGTTCCCGGAACGACCCGTTTCGAAATATACGCTCATTACACAAGCCATCTTTTGGAGTGGGTCTACCGCAAACGGTGTGTGGGTCTGTGTGCTTGAGCGTAGAAAAGATGACACCATTCGCTAAGATATTCGACAAATCCGCCATGTTCGACATGGTGGGAAGAAGGTTGCGCATCTATTACGTGTCTGCGGTATACCCCATTGCACGTGACTGAGCTTTGTGGAGAAACCCGAGGGTAAACCTATAGTGGGTCGTCCGACTAAAAAGTAGATGTAAACGAGATGTCACTATGGAATATTTAGCCCGCGCAATATTCGAGAAACAATAGACAGCCTCTCACGTGGTCCGTACGTTTCATATATGTTCATTTTGTTGACAAAAATGTGGACCGAGACCAAAACTGTTCCTTCGATTTGATATATTTTCAACGTTCAGGGGTGTACACACACTGATTTTTACATATGTACCTTATATTGTTATTGGCTTACATGAGAGAGAGGCGATTTTACAGGGAAAGGCGAAGCGTTACTTTCGTGACTGGCGATTTGTTTACTTTTCTATGGTTTTATCTCACATCTGTTTGGTGACTATACAAATATTAATATGTGAAAATCAGACTTTATAAAGGCTTGAAATTCTATTAAGAGCGATTGTGGCCGCTTTGTCAAAATCCAAATGCAATGGCCGCTTTGTTCAAAGCAAAAGATATCAAGAAACTGGCAAGGAATATTTCCCATTAGTGTAAATGATCGTGAAAGATGAGTGTTACCAATATTCTGCTGCTAGAGCAACATTTGATGCCTATGCCCACATAGCCCACCCTCCGCCTCACAAACACACACACCAACAGAAAGGACACTGTCTGCCTAATTACCTCTGCCCATTCCACCTCCTGCCTACACAACCTTTTACCCAATTCCCATCACGACGAATGAACAAGTTTTCTTATCACACAACTGGCCAAAAATAGAAGAAAATTTATTCCATAAGTCTTGAAAGTCTACATAAACCGAATTCAACTGTATCTATATTCAACAAGTCCAAGAAATCAATAAAAACTTAAGCCTTAACATGAACGAGCTGGCTCCAAGAGCCCTTTGATCTTGTTACTAATTTCTTTATCATGTTTGTTTATTGTAGTCTTGATTTCCAAGCGAATTTCAAACTGACTGTGACCCGTCTGTGCAATGATTTTTGTGGAGATGTGGAGTTTCGCTTCTCTCTTGGCTGGCAAGCGATTTTGAGGAAGGTCTTGGGGCATCAACATGCTGAACAAGCCAGCACGACACTCACTGCTTTACTGTTCAGCATAGTTGGAGGACTGGTAAGGGTTAAAATTTCTCATTGATATAGAGAACCTGAGGCATAAAACATAGCGGTCAAACGTCGGGCATGCACGAGGGGATCAATTCTTTCCGGCCGCGCTTCAATTTCCCGCGTAAAATTTCAAATGAAAACATAAGAAACAACCGCTGTCTTGCAAAGTGAGCGAAAGAGAATCGATACGATTATAGAAATCTGCTAAAGGAAACAGAAGCAGGGAAAAGGAAAGCGAGAGACTTTTCTTACACTAAGCTTTTTCAAGTATTGGTATCCTGTTGATTTACCGAACTGTTTTGAGCTTTACCAAAAGAAATTGCTTTTGAAACACCATAACTTACTGGCTTGTGTGGTTGTTGGTAACTCGTGTCAGACAACTCCTATTTGACATTTCAAAGCGCACCACCTAGTCATTACAACTTTCACACGTGCGTATACGTTTGACCGCTGTACAGACATGGTTGCATCTCTCAAAAATGTGATTTAAGTTTCCACGCAACATTAGATGTATGTATGCCTATACGAAGCGTCCATTTCAATTCGTGTTTCTCTAATTGCAGATTTGGAAGACTGTAGGATGGTGGTTAACGGCTTTGTGTGGTGGGTTATACGTTGTAGTGTATGTAATTGAGTGGGTATATTGGGACTTTGGTGGAAGAGATAAAGCTCTCAAACGACAGCTTGTGGACTACGCCTCTAAAGAGCTTCTGTCACAAGTCAGCGTCATTGCCGCTAAGTGCAGTGGACAAGTGCAACAGTAAGTTTGGCTGTCATGGGATTTTTGAAGCGTCTTTGATGTGATTGTTGGTCAAGCTCTCTAGCACACAGCAGAGGGTAAATTCGCTTGACTTGAAACTGAATGTTGAAACGGTGCCCTTTGGTGAAAGGCTGGAAGTGTTGATTGGATGTAACCAGGGTAGTAACTTAACGATTCCAGAACCGTCCATGGCTGTTTGATTTTGCACCCATTCGGTACGCTATTCTAAGCATGCAAAGCCTTAAGTGCCGCTCTCGCTAAGAGCGGTTCTCTCAACTTCTTGTAGGAAAGCAAGTTTTCTTTTATTTTTTGCCCATGAAAAGGGTTTAGGACAAGATAGAATTCTGTGAGCTATATAAATTATTGCAGTCGCTGCGCGCTGGACAAAATCTGTGAATTTGCACTTTTGATCGCTGTCCAAACGGGTGGTCTGGCCAAAAATCGTTTTTGGCTTGTGGCGACGCAAAAGAAGAGAATTGGAGAACAACTAAACTATTTTTGAAACATGTATCCGAAACCCTTTTCGTGGGCAAAAAATAAAAGAAAACTTGCTTTGGACGGCAAGTCGAGAGGATCGCTTTTAGCGAGAGCGGCACTTAAGTGTCTTCATTTCTGCCTTACTATTATTTCTGTGCCAAGAAGACGATGTTATTTGATATTAAAAGTGTTAATTCAATGCTCTGTTCAGCCCGACAACTGATTGATTCTGCAGATGAACTTTTACACCTCAATTGCCTCTGGTTTAACTGAACATCACGAGTTGAATAATTCCTCATACTTGTTTGCTGTTTTGATCTTATTATGAGGATTATTGCGTATTAATTCCTCTAGTTCATGATATGCGGCTCGGCAATAAGATACATAACAATGCAAATCCGCAATTATTTTGAAAACTTGTTATTGTGTACTTCAGATAAAGAAACATTTAATTTTATTTTATTTCAGAGAACTGACGTCAACCTCCGCGAAGTTTGAGTCTCTGGTCCAGAAACAAGTGGAAAATTTGGAAAGAAAGAAAGCCGAACTTCATGAAAAAATAGCAAGCCTTAAAAAAATCGAAAACAATGCGAAAATGTTAAGGTAATTCTTTCCTACGTATTGGCAATAAATTAATGACAACAGCTGTAGCAGAGACTGAAGTTTAGGGAGGGAAGGGGGGAAAAAATCAATAGTGAAATGGGAGTGGGTGGGGGAAAATGATTTTCTTCTGAACCCAAATGTATCATAACCTCCCTCTTCACATTGGGTTGGCATTTTCTCTCGCTCAAGGGAACAAGATGGCATGGATAAGGGATTACCTACGGCTTCTTAGACCGGCATTCCTAAGAAAAGATTTTGGGAAAATAATAGGAAGGGGGAGGGGGGGAGAAGTGGAATTACCTCTTGCTCATATACCACCCTTTCATCGTAGGAAATATTTTTTTTGTCAAGGGGAAGGGGATAGTAGGGATTGGAGACTACCCTCTATTCCCCTTCACAGACAACCTCGTCATCTTAAGAAATGGGAGTATCGTTTGTAAACATTAGCGTGGGGAGTGTGCAGCATCAGAAGTTCTAAGTGAGCTCGCTTTCTGTCCTTAGGAAAAGAGCAAGTTGGTTCAAAAACGAACTATCCCGATTCATCACTGAGTTTGGAAAAGAGCAAGATTTGAAATCTGATGAAGTAGGACGCCCTGGAATATAGGAGTAGAATGCAAAACACTATTAACCATGTTTGTAAGCTAGCGAGGACTCAATTTACAGCCTAAAACTTCTGAAAATCTAGTCTATAGCTTGCGTAACTGGGAAGTTTTGGTTGGCCAATGAAGATTTATCCGGCCGACCTGTAGTTTCTCATTCCCATTTTCACATTCCCCTCGTGACTTCACCGTTCATTCGCGCGGTTCTGTCATCCGAAACTTCCACAACACTGTTAGTTATGCAGGCTTTAGGTATCTCCTTAGTTTACTTTTCATGGCCATGAAGCGTATAGATCTACCTAGAAAAAAGCTTTACATTCAGTTAAAAAAAAAAGGTGACTATATTTCTCTTAATAATTTCACTTTTCGATATGATGTAAGGGAGAGTTCTCCGAGAGTCTGGTGGTTCTGTCTGAGGTTCTTTTCACCATCGGTATATTCTGGAGGTTGTTAAGAAATGCCGGTTAAAATTGTTTGTCAAAAGGCAGTATTTATCAGATGATACATGTCACATCCAAAGGCGTGCAATGCGAACAGTTTTTCGAGACGTAAGTACACAGATGCTTACCCTACAAAATAAAATCAGACGTGAATCGGCTTAAAATAAGATAAAATGATTCACGTCTTTTTACGTCCGGCAGAAGGACTGAAAAATTACAGATTGGTCAGTTATTTTTTGGGTATGTAACTAATTAGATTTTAGGTTAATGTACTGTTACCAACTAAGTTGACAACGTAATTTGTTTGAAATAAACAGAAGTGGTCTGATTTTCTTTAGGAGAACGGTTTTTCCAAATTTAGGAGATTTATTACTCGGACTTTCCAAGGGAAACGCCCGAGTTGAAATTCCGGCTTGATTTTTGTTTTCGTTCGGTCGCAAATCGCAGTCAAGTCCTCATCACGCATGAGCAACCTTTCAGGGTCGGCCAGGGGGGGTAGTGGAATACCAATATACCCGAAAAAAAATCGACAAAATACCCCAAAATACCCCAAATTCCTCCAAATATAACCAAAAATAATCGAAGCTTTGAATACTTTACACCTGAAATTCAAAGAAAGTGATATACTGAATACCCATATTTAAGCTGCAATATACCGTATACCCGATTTAAAACGCCCCTGAATATCGAATACACAAAAACCCTGGCCGACCCTGACCTTTTGCATGCGCGACGTCTTGACTAATGAGCACGCGGGATTGTGCAATGGCGGACGAAGAGAAGCTTTCGCGGCGCAAAATCAGCACAGACACTGTGTATGAGACGCGCAAAACGCATACAAAATATGAACACATCGTTCGCGGTAGAACCACACTAAAATATGTCGAGCGTTTTCGGAACGGGTCGGTCCATGAACCTTATGAGATATCTCTTTATGAGCGAACATTCATGAGGGAACCTTTCATCGAGAAACATGCTATATCAACTGAGCTATCTAATGTTAATCGAGAGAAGCATAGATGCAAATCTCATCGTGTATGTAGACCTGATCGTGAACCAAGCAGAATACCAATACGAAGTTTGAAAAGGTTAAGGAACAACACAGGCGGCCCAAGCTCCAGCTCTGAGATGATCATCTTACGCAATAACGGTCATGACGGAATTATAAGAGTTTGTATGGGAATATTTACGACCGCTCCAAGTAATAAGAAAATACGTCAAATTCTCAAAAAAAAAAAAAAAATGCCTCACGTTACTTCCACAGCTTATAGCTTGTTGTCTGACCGCTTACTTTGATGAAAAGAGCCCATTTGAGCGAGTTGCTCATTTCGAGGTTTTCAACGTACATAAGGAAAGCCTAAGGCTGAACACTCCATTTCCGAACGCCTGATCTGAGAAGCGAAAACTCCAAGCTCAAAATGACCGGGCGGCCACAAATCCAGCGCAGAATCCAAGCACACATACTGTAGTTTCATTTCAATTCACTACAAACTCAATCTTCCCCGTGCAACCGACGCTAAGTCGCAGTTTGCTTCAAAAATTTCCAGTTTAGAGGTTTCTAACAGCCCGCGACGACATCAACCTTGACACACGACCGTTGAAAACCGGTCAGCATTAGATTCCATCCACCAAAACCACCTTGGTCGAGAGGGACTGAGATGGAATGATGGACAACTCATGACTTGTTATACTAAATTAAAATTACGAAGCTACGACAACATGCCGACGGTAATCACGATTCTACGAGTGAAGTATCTTGTATATTTCACCACTCACAAAACGGCTCCTTTAGGAGCCATCAAATTTTGAAAGTCAATTGTCAACGTATTACACATGTTGGATGTTGTATCAAGCGAAAACCGAGAGAAAACATCAAGGTTTGTGTTAACGTTTCACGGACAAGCTACCGACAAGCTACCGACAAGCTACCGACGGTTACCGACACATTACCAACAGTCGGCCGACTGTCGGCCGACTGTCGGTCCACTGTCGGCCGACAGGTAGCCTATATTTCGGGCAAAACCTGACAGACGGCCGACAGTCGGCCGACTGTCGGCCGACAGTTGACCGACAGTCGGCCGACAGGTTTTTTGGGGAGCTCTTCTTCACAATTACCGTTATCCCGATGATGGGAAATTGCGTCAAAACGTTTTACTCAAGAAATGGTAAGTATTAATTTATTGTTCGATTGTAGTATTATAAAACATTTTACGCAATTTTATGCAGATATTTCACGTATTTAAAAGGTGCCCAGATGTTACGTAGTTTTGGTGGATGTCATTAGGGAACATCCACCAAAACTTTGACCAAAACCATCAACAATATATTTTTTTAATTTTATCTATAGCCACTGTTAGATGTTCAGGGAGACAAAAGATTTATACCACTAATTAGCAGTTAGTGCTCTGGCTAATTATTTTTTATGGTGCACAATTGCTGACCGACCAAACGTTCATAATGATTATCATAACTCTTAACACATAGAATAAAGTGGTTTTGGTGGATGTTTCTTTCCATCCACCAAAACCACCATAGCAATTTCTGCTACTTCCTTACAGAAGACTGATGTGACCTGCTATTTGGAGTACATAACCACAATCTATTTCTTTGTATGTAGAGATATTTTGCAAAGTTCTTGAGTCAGCACCTTTTATTGTTGAAACCATAATCATAACATGGTGCACAATATAGAATACAAAAGGTTCTGGTGTGGCAATCATGTAATCTTAAAACAGGAGAGTTTTTAATTGACTTAAACTAACTTAAACAGACATTTGCAACAAAATTCCAGGTCCAGAAATTTCTTCCACTATTTCTGCTAAAATCATAACCTTTAAGTATAACAAATCAGCACATCAGTAATTGTTATCAGGGGTCTGAAAATCCTATAAATCTTTCACATTTATTTTAAGTAAACTTTAATTTCACATGGATGAATAAGTACACACTCAAGATGCAGAATGTCTTACATTTTACAAATTATTTCCCTTTTTATGGATAGACAGTGAAAGGCCTTAGCCACATTGGTGAATCAAACCATTGTATACCATGCATTTTGTGACAATTGTTTGTTTTTGCTCGCAATATCCAGAAAAATGGAGGGGATAAATTTAAATAGCAAATTCTATTAATGGTTAAAATTAAATAACATTGGAAGATCAAATTAACTTTGTACTGTTTAAAATTCAGTTTTGGTTTCTTGCTTATTCCAGCCTCTTAATATTCAAAAGCATTCCTTGTCATTTTTGTGTTCTTTTGTGTAACATAACTTGAAAAATAAACACAGAGAAAGGATTTTAACCACAAAGGATTAAACTTGAAGCTAAAGCAAAGTTTAAGTTGAGCCATAGCAGATCCAAATACTGAGCACTATATATTGTAACCCATTTAGCAGTAAAGTTTATCTATATGTCTGCCAGCTTTTCACAAGTCTTACCCCTCACCTTCAAAAGTCTCTATAAATAAATTTTTCTTTGTGGTCTCTAATTGATGATAAGTATATTACAGCTCCTCAATTTCCCTCTCTCAAGACAAGGTTACTCTAAATTTAACAAAGTAATGGACTTGATAAAACTCAAACTATAACTCAGCTGGCAGCTACTTGCCACCTTAATTTCTTGATATCAGTTTACAATAATCAATATGTTATAAATAAGAACCCTAATGCTTAATTTTGCATTGATCACCTTCCTCCTTTTCATTTGCAGACCAGACTGGAACCTCTATAGGTGTGTTTGCTTGTTTTGAGTGGGGATGGAAGAAAAGGAGTCATGCTGCATATCTGATTTATTAAACCGGATTTGTTCTGTTTATACATGAGTAGAACTACCTTGTTCTCTGAAAAAAATTAAATTTCTTGCATTTTTATCTGTGTTTTGCAGTCAAACTTCCTTGTGTCTTAGACAAGAAATCTTATTTTCTTGAAAACGAAATCTTTGTTTCCAGCCTTCTGTAATAGGTAAATATAACAGAGTGAGATGAGTGACAGTGTATTTCTCAAGTTTTTTGGAATGTGACAAAACGGAAGTGTCATAGCGTGATAAGGAGCCAACATATGACTGCTTGATAGAAAGCAAAAAATGCAGAATTGCATATATTTTCTCCTTTGTCAGCAGCATATGTTAGTGAAAAGTTCTTATAATTGTTAACTTCTAAACTATCTTCAATTTAGCCAAGATTGAACTGTTATCACGTTTGTCATAAAAAGTATTCTGAGATCAATGTCATATGACCCATTCATGTATTTGACCTTTCGAATTAGCAAGCCATAGTTGACTGTAACACAAAGGTTGAGGATAAAAAGAAATTATTATATACAGTAATTCTTCTGCATCTTTTCGTTTCCTTTTCTCTCCAGCTGTTTTATCTATGCCATGCTGGCAATTGAACACTTTCCTTCCCAAAATTAGGAAAGGCACACCAGTAAAATCGAATTTTTGTTCCTTAAATATCTCATGCATCTTCCCCGAGTATTTTGTGACTTCTGTCCGAGGAAGGAGGCGTAAGCATTAAGTTAACCCGAATGATTCCACAATTGTGGTATCATCCAAACTAGTGAGAATGCA